CTGGAGACGGGGTGTGCAGTGTACAATACTGTGGTCAGGAACATATACTTACACGAACTGACACACAAATAAACAAACGAGCAGCATTTTAAGACCTTTGTATAAACACTCCGTTGTTACCACTAGGGCCTTACGTGACGTCATTAACCACCTAGGTATGTCAGACGCTTTTTGCATGAGTTTACATCTTTCAATTATATTCTGAAAAAAGGGGTTTACAATACAGATTTTTCTAGGGCGTGAAAATGAGTGTTCCTCCGAGGTGGTCCTTGAAGTGAGTCTACCACCTGCAGTCTTACACCTTCAGTATAAAGAAAAGTTCAGAGTCACAGTGTAATTTCAGCACCATTTCGTCCTCTAGCTTTTTGTCTGGTAGCTGAAGTGAATCTTTTAGATGCGCTTTCCACCAAGGAGAGAAAACCTTTAACGTAACACACTTTGGGAACCCGTGCCAGTCAATGTGTTTTTTTTCTTCCTCTCGTAACAGGAGCGGCCGTGAATGAATGGACAGGAGGAGGGGTAGGGTGAGGGAAGGGAATGAGGCGGGGTGAGGGGGTCATTGGTTCACGGCAAGACCCTCCATGACCCAGCCACCCAACCACCTCCCCACCCCCCTTTTTACCCACTGACTCACTGACTCACAAGGCTTTTTGACCGTCAGTGATAGTCGCTAGGGTAAACACGGAAAAGTTCAGAGTCACAGTGTAATTTCAGCACCATTTCGTCCGCTAGCTTTTTGTCTGGTAGCTGAAGTGAATCTTTTAGATGCGCTTTCCACCAAGGAGAGAAAACCTTTAACGTAACACCCTTTGGGAACCCGTGCCAGTCAATGATTTTTTTTCTTCATCTCGTAACAGGAGCGGCCGTGAATGAATGGACAGGAGGAGGGGTAGGGTGAGGGAGGGGAATGAGGCGGGGTGAGGGGGTCATTGGTTCACGGCAAGACCCTCCATGACCCAGCCACCCAACCACCTCCCCACCCCCCTTTTTACCCACTGACTCACTGACTCACAAGGCTTGACCGTCAGTGATAGTCGCTAGGGTAAACACGGCCTTCTGTCCGTCTCTCTCGTTTTTGTGGTCATGGATTTCCTGTCGCCGCGAGCTATACTGTGTGTGTGTGTGTGTGTGTGTGTGTGTGTGTGTGTGTGTGTGAGGTTACCAGGTCACAGGTCATGGTGCTTCTCAACCTCCATCTGGTCACAGGTCATGGTAGGAAGAATATTTGCTTACCTGTACCTATATCTGAACCTGTACCTGTACCTGAACCTGTACCTGAACCTGTACCTATACCTGAACCTGTACCTATACCTGAACCTGTACCTATACCTGAACCTGTACCCATACCTGAAGCTGTACCTGTACCTATACCTGTACCTATACCTGAACCTGTACCTATACCTGAACCTGTACCTACCTTACCTGAACCTGTACCTACCTGACCTGAACCTGTACCTGTACAACCTACCTGAAGCTGTACCTGTACCTATACCTGAACCTGTACCTATACCTGAACCTGTACCTATACCTGAACCTGTACCTATACCTGAACCTGTACCTATACCCAAACACTGGTTTGGAAACAGTAGTGGATGAATGGAACAAGTTACCAAATATCATCATTAACTCGAATACGTTGAATAGCTTCAAACATAGGTTAGATGCTTATATGAGCAATAGGGGTTGGGTGTAAACGGGACTGCCCAGTATGGGCCAATAGGCCCGCTGCAGTTTCCTCCATTCTTATGTTCTTATGTTCTTATACCTGAACCTGTACCTATACCTGTAACTTCTCATAAGAATCTCCGCCGCAGGAACTGGTGCAGGTGACACACTGTGATGACACCACTGAATCAGGTTGATAGTGTAGGGGGAGGGGGGGGGGCGTGCGAGGAAGGGCGAGGACGTGTCGTGTCTGGCCACACCTCACACGGAAGCCAGAAAGGTGAAGGAGGGGTGGCGGAGGTCAAGAGGGTTAGGGAACTAGGAGGTCAGCTAGGTCAGAGGTCAGGTGTACTGACACTGCCAGCACTGTGTGTGTGTGTTTGCATAATTTGTACAGATCTAAAGTACAGGTATACAGTGGAGGTACAGGTGTCGTCATGTCAACAAGTCCTCACCGTTTTCTACACTACAAGAACTATTTAAGTTTTAAGAAAATAAACACACACACACACACACACACACACACACACACAGACTAAAGTATATCATCGAATTAAGCTATTGCTAAGGACAAGAAGGAGTATAACTAAACGTTCCCCGTCCTCCTCCCCTCTGAAGGACGGGTCATTATTGCCACACTCAAATAATCTTGAAACAGAACCATGCCTTTATATCATATATACTGTACACACACACACATACATAATAATGGCTGACCCTCGTGTACGAGGATGGCCGGCCCAAGGGCCACCTAGGCGTGAATTTGTTTAAGGTGTAGAAGCTGTCGCCAACACAACAACCTCACCCTGAATTAACGATTTGCATGACCCAGTGTCAAAGAATAGTCCGAGAAGACCGGACAACTCGCCAACTGCACTGGCTAACTATTACACCAGAATACGATCCGCAAATCGATTAACATCCAGGTTCCCAATTACTGCTGGGTAGACAGAGGCAAATGGCGTAAAGAAACTTGCCCATAGTTTCACCCTGCCCGAGGATCGATCATAGGTCCATTCGCTTGCGAGGCAAGGAATATACTGTACATACATACATACATACATACATACATACATACATACATACATACATACATACATACAGTACAATTAAATTCATCAACTACGCCAACCACCTACGACCACGAAAACCACCAGTACCACTTTACTTACCACCGCCACCATGACCTACCACTAACTACCACCACGTCCGAGGGATGTTGAACCGGAAAGAAAGTTTGTGTGTGTGTCTGTGTGTGTGTAGACAGGTGTGGACAGGAAATGAAGGAGTGGACAAACTAGTTTCTTATACCCTAGTACCCCCTACTCTTGACCCTTCTTCTTTTCTTTTCTTTTCTTTTCTTCCTCCTCCCCCTTCACTTCCACTTCTTCCTCCACCCTTTTCTTCATCTGTAGTCATCCTCCTCATTCTCCTCTTCCATATTCTCCTCTTCCTTATTCTCCTCTTCCTTATTCTCCTCCTCCTCTCCCCTACTCTCCTTCTCCTCCCAACCTCTTCCCCACCTCACCTTCCTCCTCTTAACTCACCTTCCTCATTACCACCTCCCCGTAGCTAAATAAACATCACTCTCTCTCTCTCTCTCTCTCTCTCTCTCTCTCAACTAGACTGGAAACACTACATTCCCGACTTCTTTTAAAATTATTAATACATCCTTACTAATTACATCTTATTTACCTGCTAATTAACTCGTAATGGCCTTTGTTACTACAGCTTGTCTTGTTCCAGTCACCTGCCCACCGACCGTGACCATCTGTGTGTGTGTGTGTGTGTGTGTGTGTGTGTGTGTGTGTGTGTGTGTGTGAGAGAGAGATTAAAGACTTATTATTGTTAACCCTAAAACCTCGTAACTTATCAACACACAGGCAGTACAAACCCTAATGTATATACAAGTATTTTTAAACCCTTATGTTATCCCTTAATTATATATATTTGCAGCTATATACATTTTCTAAGATATTTATTGCCATCGCCCACCCACACATTCATATGCAACATCAACACATAATATTAAATCCGTATTCCCACGTGACTGTATGAATCCGGATTGACCCCATAAGAACGCGGGAGATAGTAAACAATGGCTGGGTGGTGTTGTGGGGAGAGGTGATGTCGGCCAGATGCAAGTGGCCTAGATGATCCGGCCGCCGGATGTTGTGAGGCCGGTGGAGGGAAGGGATGGGTTGGCTGTAGGCCTGACAATAGTAGTGATGATAGTAATAGTAATAATAATGATCATAGTGATAATAACATCAATAATAATAATTGTAATGATAATAATAATAATAATAATAGTAATGATAATAATAATAATAATAATAATAATAATAATAATAATAATAATAATAATAATAATAATGATAATAAAAATAATAATGATAATAATAATAATGATAATAATAATAATAATAATAATAATAAAAATAATAATGATAATAATAATAATGATAATAATAATAATAATAGTAATGATAATAATAATAATAATAATAATAATAATAATAATAATAATAATAATAATGATAATAATAATAATAATAATAGAAATAATAATAATAATAATAATAATAATAATAATAATAATAATAAAAATAATAATAATAATCATCACTATCTCCTTAAAAGGGTCAAAATCTCTTTACCTCTCTCCATCCTCCCTTCTTTCTTCCTCCTCCTCTTCCTCCTTTTCGTCACACTTCCCACACCTCTTATTCTCTAATTGCTTGTGTCTGAGAACTAAACTGTTTTGTGTGTGTGTGTGTGTGTGTGTTACTGTCATGTACACACTACCATGATAATTGATAACTAACAGGTCGTTCGACCTGTGCCCGGGTGGCTAATTCCCGTAAAAAATATATATAATAATAATAATAATAATTTGATACCCACTTAATAAATATTTGGTAACTGATAATACATTTATTTGGTAATTTTGAATATCGTAATTATAGTTACAAAATATATAGATAATTCTTCTATAATTACTGAATGGTAGTCAAATAATTATGATTCATAGGATTACTTGATTATTCTTCTATAACTATTGATTGCTTGTTAAATTATTAATAAGTTACCGTTATATATTAGGTATTGGTGCTATCATTTGATAATTTTCGTGTAGTTTTTAAATAATTCTTAGATATTACTAAATTACTGTTATATATTCGTTAATTCCAATATAATTTACCTATTAAATTATATTAAATATCACATAAATTAATTTCCTTTCACTTCACATAACATGACATCTGGTAATTATCAAGTATTCAGTAATTATTTTTCACTTCATGTAAATAATCGTCACTCTCCTCCTGCAGGTGGAGCACTGTGGACCCTGGTGTGTGTGGCGACGTGGTGGGCGGTGCTGGTGAGGGGGGACCTGCCCTCACACCTGGCGCCCCTCATACCCCAGGGACGTGCCATTGGGACTCACTCTTACTGTAAGTTGGCCTTTGTTATTGTGGTGAGTTTGCCTCGGGGGAAGTGGATCTGTGGTGAGTTTGCCTCGGGGGAAGTGGATCTGTGATGAGTTTGCCTCGGGGGAAATGGATCTGTGGTGAGTTTGCCTCGGGGGAAGTGGATCTGTGATGAGTTTGCCTCGGGGGAAGTGGAATCCTAAGTGGATCTGTGATGAGTTGCTCAAGTGGATCCCAGAAGTGGATCACCACCTGACCTAACCTAACAGCAGTCCAAGTGGATGTGTTGGAAGTCATGGTTGCCTCAGGTAAAGTGGATCTATGAGCTCGGGGGAAGTGGATCTGTGGTGAGTTTGCCTCGGGGGAAGTGGATCTATCTAGGTGATGTAACAAGGCCGACGTCACTTCCGGATGGTGTATCTTAACCGGCCATACCCGGTAACTAGTGGGTCAGGTGGCCGGATGTTCCTGGACTTTCACTGAGGGGGTGATTACAGTGTCCAGGTGGGTGATTATAGTGTCTAGGGGTGATTACAGTGTCCAGGTGGGTGATAATAGTGTCCATGTGGGTGATAATAGTGTCCAGGTGGGTGATTACAGTTATCGGCATATCCCAAACTTAAACGTCGAATAAAATTATCTTTAAAATGAAGAACATATAAGCTATTGATCATTAAAACTCAGTGGTTTGTTTCGTATTCTTGGTAAAGAGATTATAATGAATTTTGACGTAAAGTTGTGTTGTAATAGTAATAATAATAGTAACAATGGTAATAATAATAAAAATAATAATAATAATAATTAAGAATGAAAATAATAATAATGAAAATAATAATAATAATAATAATAATAATAAGTAACGATGAATGAATAATAATATGATAATAATAATAATAATAATAATAATAATAATAATAATAATAAAGTAACAATAATAATAAAAATCATGATAATTATAATAATAATAATAATAATAATAATAATAATAATAATAATAATAGTAACAATAATAACAATAATAATAAAAGTAATAATAATAATAATAATAATAATAATAATAATAATAATAATAATAATAATAATAGCAATTCGCTCCAATAAATTAAAATCACACAATAAATTCAACTCCAAATAAGACAAAAAAAGAATAAGAAAATTTTCTCTATTTGTAAAAAAGAAAAAATAATCAAGACACAATACAACTCGTAACGCTCACTAAAAACAGGTCACTGGGAGGTGTCGTTGGTGAGATGATAATGAAATATTAATAAACCAAAACATCAATAATAATAATAATAATAATAATAGCAATTCGCTCCAATAAATTAAAATCACACAATAAATTCAACTCCAAATAAGACAAAAAAAGAATAAGAAAATTTTCTCTATTTGTAAAAAAGAAAAAATAATCAAGACACAATACAACTCGTAACGCTCACTAAAAACAGGTCACTGGGAGGTGTCGTTGGTGAGATGATAATGAAATATTAAAAACCAAAGTTAAAAATAATATGAGTGGATAGAAAGATACTTGTCATTAAATTTTTATATGATTGATAGGATTTACAAATAACTTACTAATATTATTCTGAGTTGGGTTGTTGTTCTGATGACACACACACACACACACACACACACACGTAAATAATGGTGTATGTATATATGTGTGGTTATTTATGTGTATATCTACATAAAAGTGTGTGCGTGTGTTCATAATCATAACCACAGCCCAACTAAGAGTAATACATCAGTAGTCAACACCCGTAAGACACAATACTCTGGAGTGGACTTCACAAGGGAAAGCGGGCCAATATCACCAAGGAAACTGACCTAAAAGCGACGGCTCTTTACTGTTGGACTCGCAGCCTGTGACACCGCCTCCGCTTCCTCCCGCCGCAGAGATCAGTCATGTCCGTTTGTCTGTCTGTCGTTTTCACTGAGATATATCATTTTCTATTCCTCTCTTTGTATGTAGCTATTGTCTTCATATTTCAATAGGTTGGGTTAGGTTAGGTTGGGTTAGGTTAGGTTTCTTGACGCCATCTCTTGACCATTTATTCCAACTCAGAAGTAGAGTGAATAAAAATCATCTTGCTCCTGTTAGACTTTGTTTGAATTAATTTTGATATTTACTGAAGAATAATCACCATTTTTTTTTATCATACTGTTATTGTATTTATTTACTCTATGTCTTCTGCCTTTATTATTATCATCTGGTCCATAGAGAGTTTGGAACGTCATCCTGGGTTTGAGCTTAGGACTTGCGATACCCAACATGCCGTTTTCTATGATAATTTGGGTAAGGTAAACGAAACTATAATATAAGTTTAGGAAAGAAATTACTTCATCGGTTCTGTAATAATGATAATAATAATAATAATAATAATAATAATAATAATAATAATAACAAATAGAGGTAATGCACAAGACTATAATTATTGGAATAAATGAAAGAAGGAAGAAGAAAGAATTATAGAATGAGAGAAACTTGGCCTCACAATACATCTCATCCACCCACACCCCTCCACCCACACCCCACCACCCACACCCCCACACCTCTCCCCTACCACCCACACCCCCCCCCCACCCTCCCCACCCCTCCCCACCCACCCCACACCCCTCCCCCCCCCATCCCTCCCCACCTCTCTGGATTCACGAAAGCTTTTACAATTATTTTTTTTCCGTATCTTATTATGTAGTAACTCGCCTGGAACTGCCCTTGGTTAGGTTAGTTTAGGTTAGATGAGATTAGGTTGAGTTAGGTTTGGTTAGGTGAGGTTAAGTTAGGTTAGGTTTGGTTAGATTAGGTTAGATTAGGTTAGGTTAGGTTAGGTTAGGTTAGGTTAGGTTAGGTTTGGTTAGATTACAGTAGGTGTAGATTGGCTCCTTCCTTCCACACACACACACACACACACACACACACACACACACTTAACCACCACCGACCACAAACATGTGAACGAAACAGCCATCATTCACGTCTCACTGTATCACACGTGCTGCCGCCAACACCCTTGTCTGACCCGTCCCACCTAAAACACAACCCCACAACCCTAACACACAACCACCCTTCCCAACACACCTCCCCCCCTCTGACACAAAAACCACAACCCCACTCTTCAGCATATAACCTCTTCACAAACACAACCCACCCCCTCCCAATTACAACCTCTTCCTCCTTCATACACAACCCCTCCTCCCTCATACACAACCCCCTTCCTCCCTCATACACAACCCCTCCTCCTTCATACACAACCCCTCCTCCCTCATACACAACCCCCTTCCTCCCTCATACACAACCCCCCTCCTCCCTCACAAACCCCTTCCTCCCTCACACACAACCTCCTTCCTCCCTTATACACAACCCCTTCCCCCTCATACACAACCCCCTCCTCCCTCATACCTTCCCCTCCCTCCAACCCCCTCCTCCCTCATACACAACCCCTTCCTCCCTCATACACAACCTTCTTCCTCCCTCATACACAACCTTCCTCCCTCATACACAACCCTTCCTCCTTATACCTCCTCCTCATACACAACCTTCTTCCTCCCTCATACACCTTCCTCCCTCGCATATACAACCCCTCCTTCATCCAACCCCTCACCAACACAAACTCCTTACACCCCTCTGATATATTTCCTTAATACCATACATTATTCCCACCCCCCCCATCACCCTCCCTGACCACATCTCCCCCTGACCACACCTCCCAAAATCTGACCTGAACTAAAAATCGGGTTGTTATCATTCCCCAACTGAACTGTACCTAACAAGGATGGTAATTTGGCAGTAAATACGGTGACCTCGGGAAGGTAACATGTCGAGGCTGGTCGAGTTGCCAACTGACCCATTATTACCCGTTTACATTGACAGGGGCGTCTTCAGTAAATGTTATAGATATATTGAAGGGTTTATATAGCTATTTTTATATATGTAGATTATATATTATATGTTATAGTGGTATAGTGTAATGTAGAGTGATAGTGGTTTATGGTATGGTGTGCAAAGTGTTAGTTTGTGTTATTTTCATATGGTGTTATTATCTGTTACACACACACACACACACACACACACACACACACACACACACACACTTCTTCATTGGAGCAAAATCCCACGAGACAGTTTAAGATCGGACAAAATCTCATGCGACAATTTTCCACTGGTCAAAAATCTTGCTATCACAATAATATACTGTACCAGGCCACTCTGTTTGGTTAGGTTGGGTTGGGTTATACAAATCAAACCTAACCTAGCCTAACCTGGCCTCATCAAACCTAACGTACCCTGTCTTGACCTATTTAACTTGGCCTGACCTGACATACCCTAGCTTGACCTAATTAATCTGTTATAAACCAACTTAACCTCACCATACATGACATAACCTAACCTAAGTCTGTCCCTGCCTTCACCTAACCTAACCTAACCTAACTTAACCTAACTTAACCTAACTTAACCTAACCCAGCCTAGTGGGACTTTAAACCAGTGTTAATTTTGTCCAATGGTATTGTCCTCTGATGGTGATTTTGTCTGATGAGATTTTCTTCTGATGGTAATTTTGTCCAATGATTTTGTTCTCTGGCGGTAATTTTGTCCAATGATTTTGTTCTCTGGCGGTAATTTTGTCCAATGATTTTGTTCTCTGGCGGTAATTTTGTCCGGGGACCCAGAAGAAGGTCAGTGGTCTAGACTGGCCAACTAGACCAGGTGGCGATGACGGCGGCGGCGGTGTGAAAGTAGCGTGTTTGGGTGTCAGCTACAATTAAGTTCAGGGGAGGGAAGGTGAAAATAAGGTGAACTGCTGGTGATGGTAAAATTATGATTCTATGTCTTGTGTGTGTGTGTGTTTCAGGTATTTTCGCGAGTTGTTTAATAGTGTTTTTAGTGTTTTCGTGTTTTAGGTGTTTTCATGTGTTTTTGTGTTTGAAATCTTTTCGGTGTTTTTTGTTTTGTTTATAGGTTAAGCTGTGTTGTTATGGCGGAATATTAACAAAGAGACTTTCTAAAATGGCGTTAGTCTTGCACTACGACTCTACTTGTCTAGACTCGTTCACGTAACACGACATAGGACAGAAAATTTAAGTCCAGAATATTTTCCAATAGTTTGTTTATCTCTTTTGTCTTAAGTTAACGTATCCGAATAAGGTTGAGCATCAGTGTAATTTTGCTATATTTTGATTTTATTTTTATGCTTCAGTTTAAATCAGCCAGTTAGGTACAGTGTTACACCTTGAGTAATTAGGAATATGTGTTCTGTAAATTTAGGTAAGCTATGAACATCTGTTCAAATAATTATCACAAGTTGAAGAAATTGTTTTACAGTTGGTTCTCTTAATGTTAGTATACTGTACACCTGTTGTATACACCTCAGATTTAAGGTAGTGTTCACAGGTAGTAGAGGTCACTAATGCCCTTGTTCTCTTCCTCCACAGACTCTTACAACAAGATCGCCCATAAGGCGTGTCGTTCGAAAGGGCAGGAGGGCGTGTGTATGTTCGTGTGGGAGTGTATCAAGACGGACGGTCACCACATCGGCATGTGTATGGACGGCTTTATGTTCGGGTCGTGTTGTAACCATGACGAGAAGAGCAACGATCTGTCACCGGCTGCTCTGGCGGGCGCTGCTGGGGTCGTGCACCAGATCGCGCCTGGGGTAAACTTGAGGAATTCTAGTCTGTTGATACCTGCGAGTACCACGACGACCACGACGAGGCCTCCACCTAGTGTGTCAACGGGCGCGCCTTCCCTCATCACCTCCAGGCCTATCACCATCCAGCGGCCCCCACGACCCCCCGTCACAACCACGCCCGCCAAGGAGCACCCCACGTCCCCCACCCCGCACACGACGAGTTTTGTGTGGTCTCGTCTGCCCCCAAGCCCCACCACTCCTCATCCCGTCACGCCGCCCCTGCCGCCCACCAGACCCACCCGCCCACCCAAGCCTACAAAGTGAGTCTGGTCTCTGACACTGACCCGTGTGCAGGTGACATTGATGATGCTTAATAATGTTTCTTCTCGAAGACATCTTAGAATTCATCTTTAATATCATAGACTAATTACATGCTCATTGGGTGTGGAGGCCGAGTGGATACAGTGCCCGCCTCCTGTCCTAAGGGTCGTTGGTTCTTTCCCGAGGCACTCCCAGTCCACCCAGTTGTAGGTGAATATCTAACTTTACAAGTTGGGAAAGTGAAGGTGGTCGTGTGTAGTGCCAGCCCTGTTGCCACACTGTACAGTGTGGTGTGTCCACACTGCCCGTCATGCCTATAGGACCCACTTTCACTTTTCCTTGGGTTTGAAAGCATTAATATAATTTATCTTTTCCATTTTCATTAACGTTGATAATTTTACCAAAATGATTATAAGCCATCTTTCATATTATAGAGTTGGCTATTATTATTATTATTAGTGTCGTATAACCTTCAGTAAAGTTGTTGGTTTAGTAGAAAATCCCACCTTACCTAACGATCTATCTGTATAAATCACTCGTTTGTAAAGTCTACTTGTCCGTCAGTTTTTTCAGGTGGTTTTCACGACCCGCGGAAAGGACGTGTGACGTCACTGATGATTCCACGCCTTAGTTTGTCCCTTCGTCCGTCCGTCCTTCCTTCTGTTCGTCCATCTGTCGGTCTGTCCGTCCTTCTTTCCGTCCCTTTTCGTGCTTCCTTCCTTCCTTCCGTTCCTCCTTCAGCCAGTCCTACGTGTAGAACGGGGAAGTACTCTTCTTCAGTTTATTTGCATAATTTTGTCCAGTGAGATCACTCTCTCCCCCGCCATTTATTGTTATTTCCTTCATTACTACAGACCATCGCGTCCTACAGTAGCCCCCTGGTGGACGACGGAAGAAGCTCTCCACAAGACTCCTCCACCACCACCTACCTACTCTCCCTCCACCAGGACCACACCTCCCACCACCACCACCACGCCCACCACCACCACCACGCCCACCACTACTACCACGCCCACCACTACCACCACGCCCACCACTACCACCACTAGAAGACCTACCACGACCACCACCACTACTACTACTACTACCACAACTACCCCACCGCCTACCACAACAACATCTACTACTACTTCCAGCACCACTACCTCTACTACCACAACTACCACCACAACGCCGCGCCCATCTGGACCTGTTGTCAGCAGCGCCCACACCAAACACCGTGAGTACAGTAATAATGTTTATAGTCTGTATTAATCGTGAACGTTACAGTACTTGACCCCTCAATACAGTGGTTACAGAATGTCAATATTACCAAGAACGCAAAAATTCCTTCATAACTTTCAGTATTACATGTAATTAAATCACTATTAATTTCAACCACAGTTTATTATATAACTTAAGAAATGAGCATAAATGAGTATATTAGTAAATAATTAAGGTAGTTTAAGTAAATAAGTAATTGAAGAAAGTAAGTTAAGTAGTTTAAGTAAGTTAAGTGATTTAAGCACCGTATTTAAGTAAGTTAACTAATTCAAGTAAGCAAGTTAAATAAGTAATTAAATTAAACAAGTTAAATAAGTAAGTAGATAAGTAAGTAAGCAAATAAGCAAGATAGTTATTAGTTAAGTAAATAAGTAAGTTAAGTAAGCTTTCTTGGAAAACAACCTAATTATAAGAACAGTAAGAGGTGACAGACTAGTTGGCAACACTGTAGGCGGGGGGGGAGTGTAGGAGGGAGATGAGGGGAGGAGGAGGAGGAGGAGGAGGAGGAGGAGGAGGAGAGGAGGAGGGGAGGAGGGGGAGGAGGAGGAGGAGGAGGAGGAGGAGGAGGGTGGTATAAATCCAATAGCTACCTTGAGTCTGTTTTAAAGTGTTGATTTATTCCAATTTTCTGATGAATTTATATTTTTTATTTATGTTTAGTTCTGCGTTAGTTTAGGTTGGGTTAGGTTAGGTTAGGTTGGGTTAGGTTAGGTTAGGTTAGTATTACCTCAGTCAACAAAGTATTACCTCAGTCAACAAAGTATTACCTCAGTCAACACAGTATTACCTCAGTCAACACAGTATTACCTCAGTCAACACAGTATTACCTCAGTCAACACAGTATTACCTCAGTCAACACAGTATTACCTCAGTCAACACAATATTACCTCAGTCAACACAGTATTACCTCAGTCAACACAGTATTACCTCAGTCAACACAGTATTACCTCAGTCAACAAAGTATTACCTCAGTCAACACAGTATTACCTCAGTCAACACAGTATTACCTCAGTCAACACAGTATTACCTCAGTCAACACAGTATTACCTCAGTCAACACAATATTACCTCAGTCAACACAGTATTACCTCAGTCAACAAAGTATTACCTCAGTCAAGTCCACACTGGCGGTCGATGAATCTTACAAGCAAATATTTCAGCATCGTACACGACCTAGTCCTTCCTGCTGTGAGTTGTGTGGTTGTGGTCATTGTGGAGGCTGGGGTTGTAGAGGGAGGGATGGAGGGAGTGTAGGTGTAGAAATGAGGGAGGGAGTGTGGGAGGGAGGCAGTGTAGGAGGGAGGGAGGGTTAGGAGTGAGGGAGGGTAGGAGGGTAGGGGTGAAGGAGAGGGGGTGTGTAGGGGAAGATGCAAGGAGGGTGTGAAGGAGGGAGGGAGGGTGTGTGTGAGGGAGGAAGGGTGTGTAGGAGTGAGGAAGAGGAGATGGTACGCCTCCCCCCGACATATTACGATGGAGGATGACGGACACGATGTGGGTCACTGATGCACTAGGCTAACTGTTGACTCCCTCCACACTCCTTCTTTCCTCCCACCTCTTTCCATCCCTTACTCCCTCTCCCACACTCTGTTTCCTTCCCACCCTCCTCCTCCTCCTTCTCACCCCTCCCCCACACACACACACACACAGAGTCCAACCACACAAACATAATACACACATTAAATAAGGTGCTGCCCCATGTCGTCTCTCGAACGGGTTTGAACTTTGATAAATGTGTCGTAAAATGTACGTGTGTCATTCCTCTCTCTCTCTCTCTCTCTCTCTCTCTCTCTCCCCATTGTTTTGTTATATGAGAAAGAGGTGAAGTAAATGTTTTAATATGACGATAATTGGGATTGAAAAAGATCTTCGTCTTTTTCTTCTTGTCATTATCATTAATTAGCAGTGTAAAGGTCTCTCCTGTCAGTATGGTGTCGGTGTGGTGTGTCAGTATAGTGTCAGTGTGGTTTGTTAATATAGTGTCAGTGTAGTGTATCAGTATAGTGTGTCATTTTAGTGTCAGTATAGTGTCAGTGTGGTTTGTTAATATAGTGTCAGTGTGGTGTATCAGTATAGTGTGTCATTTTAGTGTCAGTGGTGTATCAGCATAGTGTCAGTATAGTGTCAGTGTGGTTTGTCAGTTTAGTGTCAGTGTGGTGTGTCAGTATAGTGTCAGTGTTGTGTATCAGTATAGTGTCAATGGTGTGTCAGTATGGTGTCGGTGTGGTGTGTCAGTATAGTGTCAGTATGGTGTCGGTGTAGTGTGTCAGTATAATGTCAGTGTGGTGTGTCAGTATAGTGTCAGTATAGTGTCAGTGTGGGATATCAGTATATTGTCACTGGTGTGTCAGTATGGTGTCGGTGTGGTGTATCAGTATAGTGTCAATTTGATGTATCAGTAGTGTCAGTATAGTGTCAATATGATGTATCAGTAGTGTCAGTATAGTGTCACTGTGGTGTCAGTATAGTGTCAGTATTGTGTTAGCATAATGTATCAGTAGTGTCAGTATAGTATCACTGTGGTGTCAGTATTGTGGCAGTATGATGTATCAGTATAGTGTCAGTATTGTGTCAGTGTGAGGTGGCCTGGTTTTTGTTGTCAATATGTGGGTTAATGAGGCTTCTCTCGGCCAGCACTTCCCAACACGTTCTTACTTGGTTCTTTCCCTTTCTGTGATGATGACTCTCTCTCTCTCTCTCTCTCTCTCTCTCTCTCTCTCTCTCTCTCTCTTTTGACGTGTGTGTGTGTGTGATCATAGCTTCCTGCAGTTTTGGCTTCCTCGCTCTCTGTTTAATCTTTGCATCTCTTGTTCTGTCATCTTGCCTCTCTCTCTCTCTCTCTGTCTCTCTCTCATCTGTGACATATTTCGCCTCGTCTCGGTGAAAACTAAACTGGGCTCCTGTTGTCTAGATAGTGGAACACGTATAGCAGTGACCAGCGACGAAAGCCTCTGATTAGTTCATACGTTAACCAATCAGAACACGATCTCTCTTCAAAATTAAAACACGGCGGAGGTGAACGGGAAGTTGTAATTGGTGTATTGAAAAATTATTCAATTCATTGGATTAGAACGACGCTATTCCTCGTGAACTGATATTTGAGGATTCGTATTTATCGTTCATTGTGTAATATTTATTTTGAGTACATTTCTCATTGGTTAGTGAATTGGCCAATCACTTGCTTTGAATCGTTACAAGCTACCTGTTGTCTATGCACTGACAGTAGGGGGCCAGTCAATGAGTTTGTTTTGATCTGTGAAGTAGGATTCTCTGCTGACGAACGACAATTTATTTTGGGCTGTGAAGTCGGATTCTCAGCTGAAGAACGACTTATTATTGTTGTTTGTTTGTGCTGACGGGTTAGAAAGTGATAAATATATCAGCTTCACAATGACGGTTTTATTTACTTTTTTGGTGATTATAACCGGCAAGATTTATTAATTCGCTTCATTAATTTTGCTTTAGTTTATCGAACAACTTCTTTGTTACTAAACTTAAATATTATTACAGGTGGACAGAAAAAATATGTAAATACAGATAACGAAAGTTAATTAAATTCCTCATTAAATTTTAAACGATTAGAAAATAACTATAACGTTTTGTAATAATATAATATATAATTAAGGTTATTGGATTATTAATAGCATAAAATTGAATTACTACTAAAACAATAATTACATTAGTATAAATTAAAGGTAATTATTGTTCTGTGATGCCGAGTCTAATGGAATTTTTGACTAAGCTCCGCCCACTTCTCGCGTCCTTAGCAACGGCAACAATTCTCGGCGTCTGATTGGTTGTTGGTTGCCAAGGGAGTTGTGCCGACTTTTCAGAAAATTCAAGCCTATTATTGTTTTCTTTTTAATGCTTAATAAGACCAAACGGGTTGAGAGACTAGAGAGAAAATGAGAGAGTGGGGGAGGGAGAAACGGAATAAGTTTAGTTTAACAAATTTATTGACAAAGCTTGCAGTACAGTTTGCCTATTCTGAGTAATTCAGTCAGGTGTTGACACTAGGGTGGTATCACTTCTCACTGCCACGCAGGACAGAGGTTCATACACAAAGAAATACAACATATTCATTAACAGCTATATATATATATATATATATATATATATATATATATATATATAGAGAGAGAGAGAGAGAGAGAGGTCAGATTCATGTGGATGCTGTCACTGTTATATAATATATATATATATATATATATATATATATATATATATATATATATATATATACGAGATCAAGGGAGACTGGAGAGATATAGATAAAAATTTGAAGAGAGATAAATCAGGGTGAGAGTGAAAGTGAGTGAGATTGTATGGAAAGGGGAGATAAATAGTTAATGTGATAGAATAAATGTACATGAGACAAGAGAAGGAGAGAGAAAATAAGAAAGTGATATAAAACAACTCCCCCTCTCTCTCTCTCTCCCTCCCACCATCACAAACACGCGTGACGGGATCTTTCACCAGGACTTTGAACAGCTGACATAAACTGGTCAAACTGGTCCCCCGCTGCTGCTGACAACATAAAGCAATAGGTATATATACCAATGGAACGACGACGCCTGATTGGTCGACTCAGGAAAAAATTTCGTTTGGGTGTTACATATTTTTTTATTAATACGAAATAAAATTGATATTGTGTGCTAATTTGTTGGTATTTTTTAAGTTAGGGTTTATTGTTAATGGTAAATATAGAGAGATTAATTATCCTCATTGGCAAAAAGGTGTGAAACTTTGTATGTCAGACAGCCAGACTGGTATACGACAGGAGGTTCAAAGAATACCAGACAAGAAAGAAAACGAGACAGAAAACGAGACAATAAAGATGAGATACAAGAAATAAACGAGACATTAAAGAAAACGAGGCAGACAGAAAGAAAACTATCAAGAAATTCGAAGCATAATAAAAATGGAGTCATTAAAGATTAATCAATTACCAAGAAGAAGAAGAGTAATAATAACAAGAAAAAGAACAAGAAGACAAAGAACAACATCAATACTAACAACAACAAGAACAACAAGAACACCAGGACAAGAACAGCACGAACAATAGATGAACAAAAAACCAGATCGAGAAAAAAAATATGAAGAACATAACAATTACGAAATATTAAAAAACGTGATAAATAAACTCATGAAAATAACGTAGGCAGGAAGAGGAGGAGATGTAAATAAAGAGTAGGAGGTGGAAGAAGTGTGGGTAAAGGATTTGAGGACGAATAAGCTCAATATCCATAGTACAGTCGTTAAAAGCTAAAGTCACACCTCGTTAGACTGCCCCAATTAGGTAGTTAAGCCTTTAGACACCATTGCTTGCAGAGGCTAGCGGTGTTGTTCGTTGATTGGCTGGTTGTTTTGGGGCTAAGGTCGTGGTTTGGTAGTTGGGGTGGTTGTTTGGGGTAGTCCTTTGGTAGTTGGGGTGGTTATTTGGGGTTTGGGGTAGTTGTTTGGTAGTTGGGGTGGCTATTTGGGGTAGTCCTTTGGTAGTTGGGGTGGTTATTTGGGGTTTGGGGTAGTTGTTTGGTAGTTGGGGTGGTTGTTTGTGGGTGCAATGACTAAACCCCTTGAGTGGTGATTGTCGTATCTGTGTTGTGGTTTAAAAGTCATCAGTTTAATGCTCTCATTTATGGATTTTTTTTTTTTTACAAATATTAAAAAAAAATCAGCTAGAGAAACATACAGTACACGTAAATGATCAAACACGTCTGGCAGGTCAGATGAAAGTGAGAGTTGTCGTGACTGCAGTTATCGTACGGCAGCATGATGATAAATCCCGTTTTTTGTGTTTTTCATAATTAAGTTATTTAAATTTTTTTTAACCTATTTTTAAAAGTATTATGGACGTGGCTCTAGTAAAGGGAATAACGAAGAAGGGATGATTATCAGTAATTATAGATGTGTATTAGATTCAAGAAAATTTAGTTTACTGTTTGTGTAACGGATTTATAACCATCAAACACACTCAGTCAGTCACATAGTTAACGTCTTGGGGTTTTGTGTGTCGAAGCAGCGCTTTCTAAAGGGTTTGGTACCACAACTCGAGGGTTACAAAGTGGCGACTGGGATCAGTACCCAGGGAAATAAACGTAGAAAATTAACCTTACTAAAACACGATGAGAGTAAAGTAAAGTAAATTAGAGTAATGTTGCGTGGTGACGATAGACTAACACTATATAGGAGAGCTTGACCGAGAAAAGCCATGTATACGCACAATGGTTAACACCGCGAGGTAAACGAAATGGCGGAGCCTAATGCAAAGTTGGGTACGGCTTATGGTGCGTGTCTGGTGGCGCTACAGTGAAGGTGCAGCTTTCCCTAGTGGCGCTACGACACCCACTGTCACTCCTACACCCGAGTGAACACGCCTCCCTCCCTCCCTCCTTCCCTCCCCAACTCTCCCTCCCTCAAAGGGTTAAAGTATCATCCTGAATTTACACTCGAGAAAGAATGAATGAATAAAAGCTAGTGACAGGGGGTAAAGAGGTTCAGGGGACTCTTGAGAGACGGAGAGTGCGGTGTGATGTGATCGAAGTATAGGAGTGAAAGATGGGGTTAAATAAATCAAACCAGCAACGAACACGTGGTAATGGTTTTAAATTAGACAAACTTAGGTTTTGGCGAGAAATGCGTAAATTGGTTTGGAAATAGAGTTGTTGATGAGTGGAGCAAATTACCAAACAACATCATTTACTTACTCGATTTCGTTGGTAAATTTCAAATATAGGTTGGACAGTTATTGTATAGGAGTGATAAAGGGTAGATGTACACGGGCCTCCCTTAGTGTGGGCTGCAGTTTCCTTCATTCTTATGTTCTTATCCGCAAAGGGTTAATCCATAGTCCTCAAACGGTTAAACCATCTTCAGGGGGTTAACTATCCTCCAATAGCATTTATTTAATAGCTGCTTATAATTATGATGTCGTATTCTAGTACTGTAGTTTAAGTTTTGTTTATTTAAAGTTTCATTTCTCGTTTCTAAAGTTTCATGTTATATAAGTTAAAGTTTCAGACAAATTGATTTTTTTTTCGTGTTTTTTAAGTTTGTTTCATGAATAAGTTTAATTTACGAATATTTATGTTTGTTACATATATTTTAAGTTGCATGCACACTACTATAATTGACCCATAATTAGATATAATTTGATATGATTCCCATATATTTTAACCTTAAGTTATCAAGTTACAGTCGATATAAGCTGCATACATTTTTATTTAATTACATTTTATTTTTACCTGTAATTAGTGTACTGTATGTATCTTAAGCCCAACACACAGATATAGTTCCTAGCCACAGATATTAATACACCCCCATCTTCCACCCCTTTAGAGTGTGGGGTGCCTACCATGATGGGGCAGCCTGAGGGGAGAATAGTGAACGGCACCAGCGCCAAGTTCGGGGAGTGGCCGTGGCAGGTGTCGGTAAGGAGGACCAGCTTCTTCGGGTTCTCGTCGACCCATAGGTGTGGCGGAGCCCTCCTGAACGAGCAGTGGGTCGCTACCGCCGGCCACTGTGTTGATGAGTGAGTACTGTTTCCTTCCTTCCTTCCTTCCTTCCTTCCTTCCTTCCTTCCTTCCTTCCTTCATTCTCTCCTTTCCTTTCTTCATTCCTTTCATCTCCTTTCTTCCTTCCTTCCATTCATATCTCCTTCCTTCCTTCCTTTCTTCCTCTCTTCTTTCCTTCCTCTTTCCTTCCTTCCATCCTCCCTCCTCCCTCCCTCCCTCCTCCTCCCTCCTCCCTCCCTCCCTCCCTCCCTCCCTCCCTCCCTCCCTCCTCCCTCCTTCCTTCCCTTCCTTCCTTCCTTCCTTCCTTCCTTGTAGGTGATTGTGTTTTTTTTAGTTTGTCACTGTACCGTAGGTATTTCTTTCTTCGTCTTGTTTCGTTCTTTCTTCTTTTTACTTCGTTCTTTTTTCTTCATTCTTTCTTTCTTTCTTTCTTTCTTTCTTTCTTTCTTCATAGGTCAGTACTGAAATAATCGACCAACAGTAATCCAAACAATCCATTTTATACCAATGTTTACGTTTTCCTAACCCCCTCCCCTCCCTCCCCTCTCGTTCGTGCAACACAGTCTGCTGACGTCACAAATCCGGATTCGCGTGGGAGAGTATGACTTCTCGTCCGTGATGGAGCCGTTCCCGTATGTGGAGAGGGCGGTGAAGCGCAAGGCCGTCCACCCCAAGTACAACTTCTTCACCTACGAGTACGACTTGGCGCTGGTGCAGATGGAGTCACCCTTGGAGTTCCTGCCCCATATCTCTCCTATCTGTCTCCCGGGCAACAACGACCTGTTGATAGGAGAGAGAGGCACTGTCACGGGCTGGGGACGACTATCTGAACACGGACGACTACCCTCCATCCTCCAGAAGGTGAGGTCGGGCTTCTGTAGGAGAGGTCATGGGGGTGGTCATGCATTTCCCCTCCATCTCCTGAACATCCTATATTCCCGATGTTAACTTCTGCCATAGCCCTCATGATCAACAGCTTCCATACTTCCATGATTATCACCTCCCATACTTCCCATGATCATCAATTACCATACTCCCATTATCACCACCTCCCACACCACCATAATCACCACCTCCCACCATAATCACCACCTCCCACACCACCATAATCACCACCTCCCACCATAATCACCACCTCCCACACCACCATAATCACCACCCACCATAACCCCACCACAACCACCACCACACCACCATAATCACCACCCCAGCACACCACCACAACCCACACCTCATACCATACCTCCCCACCACATAATCACCACCTCCCACACCACCACACACAATCACCACCTACCATACCCCCAAATTCATAATCACCAATCTCCCACACCACCACAATACCACCTACCATACCCCACCATAACTCACCACCTCCCCACACCACCATAATCACCACCTCCCACACCACCCATAATCACCACCTACCACCACCACCACTTCCACACCACCACAATCACCACCTCCCACACCCACACCACATAATCACCACCTCCCGCCACCACCATAATCACCACCTCCCACACCACCATAATCACTACCTACTATACCGCACTATAATCACCACCTCCCAGTTCCACCATACGACCACCTACCATACCCCACCATAATCAACACCCTACACCACCATAATCAAATGACTCCACACCACCATAATCACCACCCCACACACCACCACAATCACCACCTCCCACACCCACCACAATCACCACCTCCCACACCACCATAATCACACCTCCCGCAACACCATAATGACCACCACCATACCTCACCATAATCACTCACCTCCCACACCACCATAATCACCAACACCCCCACACTTTAATTCATAATCACCAGTTCTCCCATGACCAATTTCACAATCACCTTCACACCTCCCATACCACGACAATCACCACCTCCCACACCAATTATTAATCACCACCCAATAAATTCCACATAATCACCACCTCCCACACCACCACAATCACCACTTCTACCATACCCCCACCATAATCACCACCTACCATACCCCCACCATAATACCCTGATGTTCCTCCTGCAGGGGTCGGTGCCCATCGTGAGCAACAGCAAGTGTAAAGACATGTTCCTGAAGGGCGGGCGTCAGGAGCACATCCCTGAGATCTTCCTGTGTGCTGGCTATGAGAAGGGAGGCATAGACTCCTGCCAGGTGAGTGAGTCTCCACCTCTACCTCCTCCTGATGGGGTGGGGGGGGGGGAGTCTCAAAGGGTATAATAATGGGGAGACTATCTTATGATGGGGAAGTCTTTACATGTATAATGGAGGAGACTTTACCTGTTTAATGGGGGAGTCTTTACCTGTATAATCGGGAGTCTTACTCATATAATGGAGGAGACTTTACCTGTTTAATGGGGGAAACTTTACCTGTATAATCGGGAGTCTTTACCTGTATAATGGGGGAGTCTTTACCTGTATAATGGAGGAGACTTTACCTGTTTAATGGGGGAAACTTTACCTGTATAATCGGGAGTCTTTACCTGTATAAATTGGGAGTCTTTACTTGTATAATGGAGGAGACTTTACCAATATAATGATGAAGTCTTTACCTGTATAATGAGAGTCTTTACCTGTATATAATGGAGGAGACTTTACCTGTTTAATGGGGGAAACTTTACCTGTATAATCTGGAGTCTTTACCTGTATAATGGGGGAGTCTTTACTTGTATAATCGGGAGACTTTACCTGTATAATGGGGAGTCTTTACCTGTATAATGGGGGAGTCTTTACCTGTATAATGGAGGAGACTTTACCTGTGTAATGGGGGAAACTTTACCAGTATAATGGAGTCTTGACATGTATAATGGAGGGGTCTTTACCTGTATAATGATGGAGTCTTTACCTGTATAATGGGGAGTCTTTACCTGTATAATGGAGGAGACTTTACCTGTGTAATGGGGGAAACTTTACCTGTATAATGGGGGAGTCTTTACATGTATAATGATGGAAGTCTACTCAGCAATGGGGGGGACTCCACCACAGAATAGGAGTCTTACCTGTATAAGGGGAATCTTGTTTTCTTCCTTCTCTTCTCTCCCCGTCGTCTCTCCTCCCCCTCCTCCTCCTCCTCTCCTCCTCCCTGCCCCCTAGCAGTGCCACTTTCCCTCGGGGTAATTTTCCCCCTGGGTGACACAGGTGAGTGGCAGCCCTACACGACACCTCTCTCTCTCTCTACATATCTCTCTCATTCTCTCTGTTTTCTCCCTCTCTCTCTCTTTTGCTCTCTCTCTGTCTCTCTCCAGCGTGTTTTTATTTTGCTTTTTATGTTGTTATTAAGTATTGTATAGGGTGATATTAAACACACACACACACACACACACACACACACACACACACACACACACACACACACACACACACACACACTGAGGGTTTGTTGACAATTGTTGAAGTTGACTTGTAACGAATGTGATGATGAAGCTACCACCTGTCTTCCTTCCCTTTCCTCTTATTCCTCCTCTTCTTTACCCTTGACCTCCTCCTCCTCCTCTTGACCTTCTTACTCCCCTCTCATCTACTCGTCTTCCTCCTCCTCATCCTTCTCCTGACTCCCCTTCCTCCCCTTCACCTCCTCTTCCTATCCCTATCCCTTCCCTTTACTTCTATTAGGTTTTGTTTTGCTAGGTTTGGTTAGGTTAGGTTTGGTTTGGTTAGCATTAGGTTAGGTTTGGTTAGCATTAGGTTAGGTTTGGTTAGCATTAGGTTAGGTTTGGTTAGCATTAGGTTAGGTTTGGTTAGCATTAGGTTAGGTTTGGTTAGCATTAGGTTAGGTTTGGTTAGCATTAGCATTAGGTTAGGTTTGGTTAGCATTAGGTTTGGTTTGGTTAGCATTAGGTTAGGTTATAAACTGGTGTGCCTGATTTTCAGGTGTTACCACAGTGCCCTTTTTGTACTTGTTATACTGGTCGGAAAAAAACAGAGAGAAGTGTGAGGATAACTGCCTAGTACCCTGACGCTTTCCCCCTGTACAGTTGTGTGTGTTATTACTGATTCACGTCTCACACTTTCCCTTCACCAGTTGATCATACACAGCCCGTCTCCTCTCCCTACCTATCACCCTTCCCTTCCTCCTTCTCTCGCTCCCTTCCCCAACATCTCTCTATCTCCATCCTCTTTTCAACCTCCCTCTCCCCAACGTACCCCCCCCCCCTTCACCTTAACTCTCCCCTTACCCTTTTACCCCTCTAGCCTCCCTCTCGCCTGCTCACTGTCGCGTTCACCGTACGTAAACTCCTAATTTCACCGCCTGAGATGTAGTGACCATACCATTCATCTTGTCATGGAGCGTGTCAGAGGTGGGGGTGCACAGGTAGCGGCCCGCCCCCTTCCTCTCCCGCCACCACCTGCACCAGCTTTCTCTCGCGCCTGTTGACTATCAGCTAATTCTCGCCACCACTATTGTTTTGGTTCTCTGGCCCATAAAATGATGCGTGTGGTGTCTCTAGATGTGTTTGTGGCGGAGATCAACACTCACACTCCTGGGTTTTTTCTTCAGATTATTTTCGGGTGAGATGCCACGCAGGGAACCTCTCTCTCGTTACCTGCCTGATGACACTTATTATCTGAACGCGCTGGACTTGATACTCACACAGTTATAAATTAACTTTTTTTCCTTAATTGGGAATATAAAAACACAAATTTACGGTAGTTTCACCTAGATGTCGACGCCATTTTGAACCCGGATTGAATAGACGTGTCCAAGTTAGTTGTGTTGTCACGTCACCAGGGAGAAAGAGAAGGAGGAGGAGGAGAAGGAGGAGGAGGAGGAGAAGAAGAAGGAGGAGGAGGAGGAGGAGGAGAAGAAGAAGAAGGAGGAGGAGGAGGAGGAGGAGGACGAACTCTTGCCAAGGTGCTGGTGAGACGCTCATAATGGTGCCGCCTCGTATTATAAGAGACCTGATCTAAAAGTCTTAATCGACGTCATACTTTGCCATAGGATGTCGTACCTCCTCCAGTCATGACGTGAGAGCCTGGTATCTTAGTGGCACGGTCTTCTATGTCCTGACGGCGAGAGACTGTTCTTGTCTACACACACACACACACACACACACACACACATACATACACGGGTAGTTGATGAACCGAAGCCAATAAACGCTTGAATATAACAGACTTTCTTGAGGTCCCACGACGGGTAACAAGCGGGACTGGGTGTAGGGGAGGCCGGGTGTAGGGGAGGCCGGGTGTAGGGGAGGCTGGGTGTAAGAGAGGCTGGGTGTAGGGGAGGCTGGGTGTAGGGGAGGCTGGGTAGGGGAGGCTGGGTGTAGGAGAGGCTGGGTGTAGGGGAGGCTGGTGAGGAGAGGCTGGGTGGGGGAGGCTGGGTGTGTGGAGAGACCGGGTAGGGGAGGCTGGGTGTAGGGAGAGGCTGGGTGGGGGGAGGCTGGGTGTAGGAGAGGCTGGGTGTAGGAGAGGCTGGGTGTAGGGAGACCGGGGTGTAGGGGAGGCTGGTGTAGAGGAGGCCGGGTAGGGGAGGCCGGGTGTAGGAGAGGCTGGGTGCAGGGGAGGCTGGGTGGGGAGGCCGGGTAGGAGAGGCTGGGTGTAGGGGAGGCTGGGTGTAGGAGAGGCTGGGTGTAGGGGAGACCGGGTGTAGCTGCTGTGGATGAGGCACTTCTGCACACTTACCTGCTGCATCCACACCCTGCTGCACATCTCACCTCGCTGCACACTTTCCCTGCTGCACATCTCACCCTGCTGCACACCCCCTGCTGCACACCTCGCCCTGTCGCACACCTCGCACCTGCTGCACACCTTACCCTGCTGCACACTTCACAACCTCTGTCGAAGTAACAGTAACTGGATTTAACCGGATTTATTAATAATTTAAAATAAGATTTAGGATTTATGGAAATGACCAGAAGGTTAAGACACCCCAGCTTATTTCACCTTAAGATTAACCACCCTAACGCTAACTGGAAGGGTTATGTTAGGTTTGGTTAGCTACGGTGGCTAATCTTTAAGTGAAATAAGCTGGGGTGTCTAATATTCAGGTGAAGTAAGCTGAGGTGTCTAATATTCAGGTGAAATAAGCTGTATCTAATCTTTAGTTGTCCAGTGACTTACGAACATAAAAGTGAAAATCTGTACAGTTGAAAAATACTTGTAATAAACCAGTAAATTACTCCTATCTATCATCACGTGTCAGAGTTGATGATAGACTTAGTAGTGAATGTTCAACCTATAATTTCTTCTGCTATGATTCGGGTACAACTGATCGTGTCTGTGATAAGATACGGTAATGTGTGTGTGTGTGTGTGTTGCCTCTTTTGATGAACGATAACATACGGGAATTTTCACTACTGGCGCCACACTATTCCTGATTACTAATGTGTCTCGTTGTATTTTTTCTCTTGGTTTCGTTATTTCCCTTCGTTCTAAGTCAGTTTCAGATAAAACTGTGGTAGCCATTAGCCCAGGTTGCAGCACTTTCCATCTCTTGCCGCCCTAGTTAACACAGGGTGGCGGGAAGTCTCTCTACTGTTTTTCCCGCGCTTTTGACTTTTCCCGCGTTTTCCGGTGACTGATTTTACGTCATGGTCTTAAGGAAACTCCCAAGCCAATAGCCAGTTATCATCAGTGTTTTCATTATTTTCTGGTTATTTATCCAATCACGTTTATTAATGTCCATATTTTAACCCATATTCCGCGATGATAATTCTTTATAAGGTATACATTTTACGTCATCATGTATACAGTCATGAATAAAAGTGCGTGTTTACAACTATGTATACCGTTGTTTGGGTGGTAGTCTGTGTTGAATCCGTGAACCCAAAATATAACCCAGGGCAGCAGATAATATTAAGCACTTTTTTAAACTTGGAAGCTGAAATTTGGACAAGAGCAAACGTGTTTTCATTTAGTTTTGACTCATAGTTTGTTTTATAGGTGTTTTATTTTGGTTTATTCCCCCATTCTTTATTTTGGTTTATTCCCTCATTCTTTATTTTGGTTTATTCCCCCGTACTTTAATTTGGTTTATTCCCTCATTCTTTATTTTGGTTTATTCCCCCGTACTTTATTTTGGTTTATTCCCTCATTCTTTATTTTGGTTTATTCCCCCGTACTTTAATTTGGTTTATTCCCCCGTACTTTTATTTGGTTTATTCCCCGTCTTTTAATTTGGTTTATTCCCCCATGTTTTAGTATTGTTTAAT